CGCCATCCTGACATCGAGCCGTTGATCACTACCTGCTGGGCCCGGCCTTCTATCCATCTTACAGTCCATTTATCCAATCCACATTTGCTTAACTTGCTGGCAAGAATATCGTGGGAGACCGTATCAAAAGCCTTGCTAAAGTCAAGGTATATCAAAGGAGAGCCTGTGCTCTCCTTCGGGCAGTGACGCCAAACCGGTACCTGGTCCTGGTAGTTCTAATGGTGCAGCTCTTGGTTTTCACCTCAGCCCCAAATCCAAGCTAGGTTGGAAATGACAAACTCAACTGCATCCAGTGGCTTCTCTGACATTGGCTGGCAGCTTTGGATCCAGCAAGGGGTTGTCAAAAAACCCACAGAACCCAGCTAGCACTGAGCGGCCATCACAGCAGAAGCCATGGAAAGGGAGCTCAACTCCAAAGTTATTCTCCCTTTTGGGGGAAGAGGTGCAGGACTCTCTCCTGGGCACACCAGCATGGAGCAATTCCTCCAGGTCTTCTGAACATCCAGCCCCACTCACTGGTTTGAATTAAAGCTGGGCAGGCCCTTGCCAGATGGGGAACCCGGGAAGTATGGATTGAGCAGGAAAAATCCCCTTCAAATTAAGGCTTCTTTCACTTACAATGTGGCAGTCACGGTGCTGGCCTTCTCCATGAGCCCGACACACTATAGAGCTTTGCGGCAGCCCAGGAATGTCAGAAAGAAGCCCTTCTCTCGCCTCTCCACCCCTTTGGCACTGCTGTATCTTGTCTTTCTTTGGGCAGGTGCTTGGGGCCTACAGCCTCAAGCAAATTTAGGTTCCCTACTTCCAGCGAAATCAGTAGCAATGAGGGGCTTAAGCATTATGTCTACACTGCAAGGCTGTTCCGGGATACCGGGGGTACATTGAAATAGCAACTCTGCGTCCAAGGAACGTGCCCGTTATTTCAAAATATTCTTCAAAATAACAGACACGACCAAGTAAACCTTGTTGCAGGAGGATTAAGGGATGGCTCAAAATAGTGCAGGGGGGAGGGATAGCTCAGTGGTTTGAGCATTAGCCTGTTAAACCCAGCGTTGTAAGTTCAATCCTTATGGAGGCCATTTAGGAATTTGGGGCAAAAATTCATCAGGGATGGTACTTGGTCCTGCTGTGTAGGCAGGGGACTGGACTTGATGACCTTTCAAGGTCCCTTCCAGTTCTAGGAGATAGGCAATCTCCATTAATAAATTAAATTTCAAAATTTGGTGTCATGTAGACACACCAACCTATTTCAATATAAAGTAGAAATAAGATACATCATTTGCACTATGCCAATGATGTATCTTATTTCAAGCTAAGGGTGCAGTGTAAACGCACCCTAAATGTCTTGGAGGAATTGAACCTTGACATCTGAAGTCACCCTGCAGTGACCCGGTCTGCCGAAGAGGTTTTTCCCCTCCAGACTACTTCAAGTCAAGTCTCCATCTGGATCAGAGACCAGGGCTGCCAATCACGACGTGTAATGTATTTCTGGCAGGTGCTTCAATACCCTAACGATGAGGAGCGTAGACAAGGAGGAGAGGAGAAAGCATGTGGGAAATGGTTTTGCAGTCAGTTATTAAACATGTGGCATTCAACAGCAAGTGGGTTGGAAAAGATAAGGGAGGGGGAAGGGAAGAGACAAAGAACTGAGCTCAAACTCCAGGGACCCTGTACGAGTTGGCATCATGCAATGGAAAAAAATTACTTCCCCGCGATGGGAGGCCATCAGCCCACGCCGCCCCCGGCTCCGACTCTACAGAACGGGTCACTTGTCTGCAGCTTACCATGAACAGCCCATCCTGTCGCCTGCCCACCATCCCCCTGCACTGATGCTAACGAAACGCAGGCTCAGTGAACCCTGGGTCTGCCTTTGCTAACGAGCTGTACATAGAAGTGAACAGCAGACGAACGAAGCCTGCAGATGTTGCGAGGCACAGCACAGGTCTTGGGGGCGAAGGCATTCAAGAGACAGGGGGGTGCCTAGAGTGGGTAGAAATGGGCAGAAGAGAGGCATCTCTCCACCTGGTGGAACAGACCCGGTGAACAGGGGCAGAGCTAGTAACCAGTCATGCTGGCGAGAGCTGGGTAGTGGATTTCTTTTACTCTTGCGCCCTAGTGAAAACAGAGGGCTCTGGATATTTCTCCACTGCAATTGGCCATGCCTAAAAGCACAGCAAGACAGACTTGCATTAGTTTTGCTCAAGCAAATGGGCTAAAAATGGCAGAATGGACGTAGTGGCTCTGGCAGAGGTTCATGCTAGCACCCATCCCAAGCCCAAAACCCACCCCACCCACCCCCTTGGTCTGAGCTTGGCTGGCTAACCCGAGTCTATGCCAGAGAGGCAGAGCACGTGTATGTTTAGCACACTAGCGCAAGTCTCTCTACCATACGGCGAGGCTTGCTTGCAGCTTCAGTGTAAACACCCCCCTCTGCAGTTGTGTGGTGCACAAACTCACAGGAACAGCAGGGGTGCGTAGCTGTGAGTGTGCCGCAGATGACCAGAGGAGGTGGTGTGATTACAGGACAGGCAGCAGGTTTAAAACAAACAAAAGCACAGCTTTTTCCACACAACCTGTGGAACTCCTTGCCAGAGGATGTTGGGAAGGTCAAGACTATAACAGGGTTAAAAAAAAGAAATCGATAAGTTCATGGAAAACAGGTCTAATGAATGGCTATTATCCAGGATGGGCAGGTTTGGTGTCCCTTATCTCTGTTTTTTGGAAGCTGGGAATGGGTGTCAAGATGGATCACATGGGCTATGTCTAGACTGCAGGCTTCTTTCGAAAGATCACGTCTAGACTGCAGGCAGATCTTTCGAAAGAGCAATCCGCTTTTTCGAAAGAGAGCACCCAGCGAGTCTGGATGCTCTCTTTCGAGGAAGCCCTATTTACATTGAAGAACGCCTTCTTTCGAAAGAGGAACTTTCGAAAGAAGGCATTCTTCCTCGTGAAACGAGGTTTACCGCCATCGAAAGAAAAGCCGCGTTCTTTCGAAATAATTTCGAAAGAACGCGGCTTGAGTCTGGACGCAGGGGAAGTTTTTTCGGCAAAAGGCTACTTTTCCCGAAAAAAACCCTGAGTCTGGACACAGCCTTAGTGATTCCCAGTTTTGTTCATTCTCTCTGGGGTACCTGGAATTAGCCTCCTTTGGCAGACAGGACACAAGGCTAGATGGACCTTTGGTCTGACCCAGTCTGGTTGCTAGGAAGGAGCTCTAGATTCCAGATCTAGATTCTAGTCAAAATCTTGTATAGTCCCTCATTTTCAGAGCACACTTACCTTGGGAGAACAGCTCTCCGCATTTTTGGCTTGCAGTGAGGCTTCCTTCTAAGAAGGATATCTCAGGATCTGGGGGGCGGGGGAAGGGGTTCTCTGTCTGCTTTCACTGTTAACCACATTGAGTGTCTTCCACAAGCACTCGGGTGACAATGCACTGCAAACACACCTTACAAAGAGTCTCTACCAGGATGAATGCAACCTGACCATATCCAGCTGCTGCCTGGAAATACATTGTAAGCTAAGTGCTTGGGCAGCTCCCCAGGAAAGACCCAAATGCCACCCGGCTGATTAACATCGCAGCCCACAGCTGTCACTATGTCTTTCTGCTGGTGGTGCACATCTGCACAGCCTCAGTGTACATAGCACAATTTATTCTGCACATGAATTGAAAAAATTAGAGGGAACATTGCTGGGTGTTGTAACATCGCTTCTATGATTTATTTCCATTCTTGATTTACAAAAGACTCTTGAAATGATAAAAGCAGAAGCTAGGTCCCCAAGCAGTTAAAAAAAAAGTTATTAGTACCCAGTAGGGAAGCGGATTCATCACAGTTAACTCAGGTGTTTAACTCAACAAAATCTAATTGCAGAGGGTCTGGGTGGTGAGCTGAGGCAGGCAATTAGGATGCAGGAGGGGGTGGGGTGCCAGGTGGAGGTCCTGGCCAGGAGGCGCTTACCTAGGTGGCTGCCAGCCAGCAGCCCAGCAGGTCCCTTAAGCAGGCTCCCTGCCTGCCACAATCACAGGCCACTTCTTCACACGAGAGACGTCACACGCTGCCCCCAACCACAGCACAACCACAGCTCCCTTTGGCCGATTTCGATGCCTGTGCTGGGGGCGGGGCCATTGTGCAAAGCCCCTCCTTCCCCCCCCCCCCCAAGGGCTGACT